CCTGCCTCAAAGGAAAAATGACCAAGACTCTTTTCAAAGGGAAGATGGAACGAGCCGAGGGTCTTTTGGATTTGATCCATTCAGACGTGTGTGGTCCACTAAGCGTTAGTGCTAGGGGTGGTTTTAACTACTTCGTTACCTTTACCGATGATTATTCTAGGTATGGTTTCGTGTACTTAATGAAGTATAAGTCTGAAACTTTTGAAAAGTTCAAGGATTTTAGACACCAAGTAGAAAACCAACTCGGTAGACGTATTAAGAAACTACGATCCGATCGTGGTGGCGAATACTTAAGTACTGAGTTTATAGACTATCTTAAAGAGAATGGGATTATGTCTCAATGGACTCCTCCTGGAACTCCTCAGCTTAATGGAGTTTCCGAACGTCGGAATCGAACACTATTAGACATGGTTCGATCTATGATGGGGTTCACCGAGCTACCGGCATACCTGTGGGGTCATGCACTCCTAACTACCGTGTATTTGCTGAATAGTGTTAATACCAAAGCAGTTAACTCCACACCTTATGAACTTTGGCACTCAAAGAAACCCACGTTTAAACATATTAGGATATGGGGTTGTCCCGCTTACGTGAAGCGGCTAGTGGGAGATAAGTTGGATAGAAAATCCGACCTATGCTATTTTGTGGGGTATCCCGAGGATTCCATGGGATATGAATTCTACTATGTTTCCGAGGCAAAGGTGTTCGTCTCGAGAAATGTCGTGTTCCTTGAGAAGGAATTTTTATCGGATAGAAAGGGCAGTGTAGTTGATCTCAAAGAAGTTCGAGAACCACAATCTGAAGTTCAAGCACAACAATTAGATAATGAACCAATTCAACAAACCACTAATATACCTCATGAACCGTCGCTACGTAGATCCGAAAGAGTTCGGAGAGCGCCCGATAGGTTATTCCTCGTTGATGAAGTTGACCAAGGATATGATCCTAGAACTTTCAACGAAGCTATATCGGATACAGACAAGGGACATTGGCTTAATGCCACGAAATCCGAAATGGACTCTATGTACTCCAACAAGGTATGGACCTTGGTAGATCCACCCGAGGGAATCGTTCCCATATGCTGCAAGTGGATCTATAAGAAGAAAATTGGAGTAGATGGAAAGGTATCGACCTACAAGGCTAGATTGGTAGCGAAGGGTTATACTCAAAAGCAAGGAGTTGACTATGAGGAAACCTTCTCTCCAGGTGCTATGCTCAAGTCCATTAGGATTTTGCTGGCCATCTCTGCGTGGTATGACTACGAGATATGGCCAATGGATGTGAAGACCGCTTTCCTTAATGGGGACATTGAGGAAGAAATTTACATGGCGCAGCCGGAAGGCTTCATATCTTCTAGAGATGAGAAAAAGGTTTGCAAACTCCAGCGATCCATTTATGGATTGAAACAAGCATCCCGTAGTTGGAACAAAAGGTTCGACACAACTATGAAAGAGTTTTAATTTGTGAAAAACCCGGAGGAACCTTGTGTCTACAAGAAGGTTAGTGGGAGTGCAGTGACTTTCCTTGTATTTTATGTTGATGACATACTACTCATTGGGAATGATGTAGGGATGTTGCAGTCAACTAAAGTATGGTTCTCCACACGTTTCTCGATGAAGGATTTGGGAGAAGCATCCTACATATTAGGAATACGGATCTATAGAGATAGATCGAGGAGATTACTTCGCTTGTCCCAATCCATGTACATAGACACCATTCTTAAATGGTTTAGCATGGAAGAATCCAAGAAGGGATGCTTGCCAATGTCCCATGGGGTTCATCTCTCGAAATCCATGCGTCCTCAAACGCAAAAGGAAATCGAGGAGATGAAATGGACACCTTATGCATCCGCTATAGGAATCATAATGTATGGCATGCTGTGTACACGACCTGATATTGCGTATGCTGTGAGTGTCACAAGCAGATATCAGTCCGACCCCGGCCCAGCCCATTGGAAGGCTGTGAAGGACATTCTGAAGTACTTGCGAAGAACTCGAGATATGTTTTTGGTCCATGGGGATACCGAGTTGATATTAGAAGGCTTCACGGATTCTAGTTTTCAATCGGACGTGGATGACTCGAAGTCAAACTCGGGGTATATATTCAAAGTCAACGGGGGTGCCATGTGTTGGAAGAGTTCCAAACAAGGCACGACGGCTGATTCCACCAACCGAGGCTGAATATATTGCAGCATCAGATGCTTCAAAGGAAGGGTCATGGATTAGGAATTTCATCCAAGAGTTGGGTGTATTTCCGAACGCTAGCGATCTAGTACGGCTGTACTGCGATAACAACGGAGCCGTAGCGCAAGCTAAGGAACCAAGAGCTCATCAGATGTCGAAGCACGTGTTGAGAAAACACCATGTGATCGGAGAGATCATAGAGAGAGGTGAAGTCAAGCTAGACAGAGTCACCTTGGAGGACAATATTGCAGATCCCTTCACCAAGCCATTGTCAGGATCAGTCCACGAGAAACATCGAGAGTCGATGGGACATAGATTTATGAGTAGTTGGCTTTAGGTCAAGTGGGAGATTGTTAAAGTAGGTGACCAACAAGCCAACTTGTGGCTGTGGTCTTTCTGTTTTTCCTTGTAATAAAACGATCGTTTTTTGTTCGTAATAATAAAATATTTCATTTGGCATTCTATATCTCTTATCCCATGCTAAAAGCATAGATATAGTCCTAACGAGTTACTCTATTACTGTGAGTTGGTCTAGTAGAATCGTGAGATAACTCATCAATGTAATGTAACTGTTAAACCTTGTTCCTAGTCGATGGGTTACGCCAATAATGAGGATACCGGCCTTTCCCTTTTGAGACTAGCACTTAGTGTATGTGTACTGCGTCTCATCAGTCCTCGGTGTTGTGACATCGGCATACTTGAGCGGGTGCTCATACTAGATGAGTTCACTGAACTCCCTCGCCCTAGAAATCTATAAGTGGTTCTCATTCATCGAGTAATAGGTTTCTAAGACCTAGACATCACCGTGACTTCACTAGAGGACCGATTGTATCGTGACCTGTCCCTGAGTCCCACCGCGGACCACTCCAAGGGCCAACGTTCGTGCAATCCGAAATCTAGTGTGAAGTCTGTGCATTGTAGTAGGGGATTCGAGCGCTTGAGTAGTCATGGATGTCCTGTATGTTCTGACGGTTTATAATCCATGGAATCTCTGGCCAGAGTCGATAGTGGGGTGATTAGGGAAATGTGTTTCCCTAAGTCGCACACGAACGGATTTATAATACCTAGAACGTTCGCACGGTTATTGAACTTTATAAGAGGTCTCGGTGAACCAATGCCTCTAGTTCAATCGGGACATGTGCTGCGAAAGGATCGTACTGTACGCTAACTATATCATAAGGTTCTTGCAGGCACTTCACTAGTATCTTGGGAATCATGATGCGTAGTTGCTAGACGCCAATCTTGATTCGTTGGGCACCGATTTGATCGGGGATTAGGTAAAATGAGTTTTACCTTAATCGGGACTCTTGGGAGGAGTTCGTATAAGAACAATGTGTTGTTCGAATCACAAAGAGTTGTAAGCCCACGACTAGCATACACCTGAACCATATAGATCCTTGATAACAACAAGCATAGATTAATGTGTTAATCTTTGAACGATTGGATGTCGATATGATTGAATCCAAGATTCGTAATTGTGGATTGCGAATCGAAATAAACGTAGAGAAAGAGAGACATGCGGAATTTAGTGAACTTTCTAAATTGGGAAGTTTCCCAATTTAGCAAGTCCACTGAAGTGGAAGTTTCCAATTTTGGAAATTGGAAATTTCGAAGAGGCACTCGTATCGACGAGGACTTTGAGCTCGTCACAAATATAATTTTGTTATAATTTTGTGAACGATCGTTTATTAGAAACGAAGCCGACGAAGGAATGGGCTTAATACATCAGTGGGTCAAGCCCAATGACTTAAACCCACTAGGGTTGAAAAACCCTAAGTATACATAGACCTCAAACAAGAGTTTGAGATCAGATTTTATGCACGAAACCCTAGCCGCTCAAGCCCAAGCCGCTCTCCCCTTCGACCGTTGCTCCCCCGCCGCGCCACCGCTGATCATCGCCGGAAAACCGCCGGTTTTCTCCTCTCTTCTCCTTCGTTTACTTGTTGTTTATCTAAATCGTTTACATCTAGTGCTGTAATTCCAGTGGGTCGAAAATACGAGGTGAAACCTAATTGGAGAGGAGCTTCTGCCCCGACGAATCCACGCACCGCCGCTGCACCGCCGCACGCGCCGCTACGCAATCCACGCGCCACCGCTGCTGCTGCCACGCGCCGCCGCTGCTGCTGCCACACACCGCCGTTCGTCGCTTGCTGGATCAGCTTGTTCCAGCCGTGAGTTGCAGCCCCGAGTATTGGTAATTTGCAGCTTGTACGTGATTGATTCTAGGTTTCGATTCGTCGAAATCTCACGCTACAAGAGGTAAATAAATCGAAACTTTCGTAAATTAATTCGAGCATGTTTGTATGAATTATAATTTATGATTATGAGTAATATGTGATTACGTGTTTCGATTTTATTGAATGATGAACAAGCATGTTTCGTAATTTTCGGTTTTACGTGTTTTTCAATTAAATCGATAATTACCATATGTATGGCGGAAGCGTTAAGGTACGTTGACTATGTGATTAGTTTATGCATGTAATCGAACCTAGTTCGATCTAAAATTTTTAAATTACGTTGCGTATGCATGCACGATCCCCAACACTAAGCACTACTTATTCCATAACTAAAATTTAGTTAGAAAATAAGAGAGTTAAAAATAAAACGTGGAAATAATCCACGTGTTTCAAACTCTCCCTTTTTAACTTTCTGATCAAAACTAAATTTTAGCTTAACTCCCCCTAAGTCATTGCTTGAACTCCCCCTGAATTTGACAACCAACATGAACATAAAAGTTCAGAGGAAAAAAAAAACTGAACAAAACCAAATATTGTTCATAAAACAAATTAAAGTAGAATATCCAAGGTCTCCTGAGTATCAGCTGTTGTTTCTCCATCTGGACCCACTGCTTTCCTCTGCTTCTTCTTCATTAACTCCTTGCTCTCTGCCTCTGGCATCCAAGGGATGAGAAGTCCCTGCTTCAACTTCATGACTGACTTTTTCTCCCCCTTTTTGATCAGAAAGAGCTTTCTGGTGCATGTCCACCATGGAGTGATGGTATGTGATCTGAACTAGGGAGTGAGTAAGCTGTTTTAACAAAACAAATCTCGAGAAACAGAAATAAGGATGTCAGGAGTGTTGTCAACATGAGGAGCAACACCTTCAGTACCAAGATTATTTTGATCTGATTGAGTTTAGAGAAAATTATCTCCATTCAAGGGAAAATCATGGACATGAGGAGCTTTGAGAAAATTTTGAGAAACAGTTATCATGCCAAGTGGAGTGTGAAGATGTTCTGATTCATCTTGGCCCAAATTTTGAGAAAACAGAATGAAGTAGATGAGAGAGGGATTTAAAACGATTGCCAGAAATAGTCTTACAAACCTCAGTAAAATCACCATAATTATCCTCATCAATTACAGTAGGAGTTTGTAAATGAGAGTTGATAATTTTGGGAGAGAAGGAAAAAATGGAATTTCGCACAAAAATTGTACCAAAGTTTGGAGAATTTAAAAAAAAATTGTAAATTGGCATAAACATTCCTTCACAACAGAAGGATCATAAGGACAGGCAACCTCAACTAGACTAAGGATTTTTCTTTGATCAAGAAAGGCAGTGATCATCATATGTCTATCAAACTCATCCTTGGAAATTTTCTTTTCCTCAATGAATTGGCAATTCATGATTTGAGGACTCAAATTTGAATCAGATTCAAAATAAAAGGTAGGACTGAAGGCATTGTTTACCTCAAACGGAGTTGACAGATCCTTCCCATCCAAGTCTAGCTCTTCTTCCTCAGAGGATTCCTCTTCTTCTGAGTCTTCAAGTTCATCTGGGATGTATGCTGGATCAGATGATGCAATAGGTGGAGCAGCATCTTCTTCCATCTGAGATGAGTCCTCCGAAGAATCACTGTCAGACTCTGAGGATGGCAAATTATTGCGGAAAGAGGCAAGGGCACTTCCCAACTGTCATCACTTTTCTCATTCTCTTCAACCTGGGAAGGTGGTGCATCCACTTGAACAGCTACTTCTGCAAGAGTTTCCAGAGGGTCTGCATGTGGTGCTGAGGGTGTTTCTTCAGTGGTAGTGAAATCCTGAGCATCAACAGTGGGAATGTCAACATGCTCGGCAGAGGACATCCCAGAAAAATCAGACATTTCTTCATCCTGGTAGGGAGCAGCATCCTCAGCAGCACTCTGAGGGGCATTGGCTGAGACACTGGGTGCAGCAGCATCTTCTGGAACATGTGCAGCAACATCTTCAGAAACAGGATGTTGGGAAGCTGCTGCTGCCATGTTAGGCTGAGATGTCTCCCCCTGAGTTGATGCTGGTGGAGTTGAGTCGTTGGAGGATGACTCAGTGGAGCTTGAGGAGAGAGCTTGGGCTTCTGGTTCTGCAAAGGTAGGATCTACTTCTTCATCATCTGTGTCTTCATCCACCAAATGAAGACCTCTTGGTGGGTTTTCCCTAACTGGAGTACGACCACCTCTGCCGCCTCTTCTTCCACCTATGCCTCATATTCTGGGAGAGATATCTTCCCTCCGGCGTTGTGACCCAGCAATATTCAGATCTGGGAAGGGATTCATGCGCTTGGGCCGGCGAGTTGGAAACCTTCATGCACTGGAAGAGGGACCCACATACTCGAAGTTGTCTGGGTCAATCGGATTCAGCTCGTCACCGGGCTCAATCAAACTGATCGGCATAGCTTCAAGGTTGACAGGATGAACGATGACGGCCAGATTCGGGTCTCCTGGTTCAGGTGCTGCAGCATCGTTGTGGACGTCACCGACGGCTGGAAGAGGATTTCTAGGAGGAGATGCCATGATACAGTAGATAAAAAAAATTGCTTCTTATGCTTTTAATTTTTGGGTGTGAATTTTCGAAAGAAGAAGCACGAAATTTATAAGCCCTAATTTTTGCTGAAAAAAAATTGAAGTGGAGAAGGTGAAGAAGTGGTGTGCGTTTTTCTTGGAGAAAGTGTGATTAAAGAGAATAAAGGTTTATTTGGTAGTTTAACGCAAAACGTGACACATGGCACAATAAGGAGTGGACTTAGTGGAAGATAAAAGACTAACCCATGAACCCCATGACCCATATAAACAGTGATAATTCAATAATAAATAAAATAATAAAAATAGTAGCAGTAGCACTCACGATATTTTCACAAAAATAGAAAACACATCTATTAATGATTAATAGTGTGAGAAAAAAAATTGGCTAACAGGCATAGATTTTATTATATATATAACTTTTTTTATTTTTTATTTTTATTATTTTTTTTTTTGTGTTAATTAAAACTCTTATTTTCAAGTCAAACAATTCACATGGAACATGATCAAGTGTTCAGTTTGAAGGTTCCTCAGTTACTAAGATATGACTATCGAAATAGAGGAGTTTGACTTATGTGATTATAATTGTTCTCTGAATGTTTACATGAAGCATGATCACGTTTCAAGGTGAAAGACTTCCTGTTACTTATTTAGAGAATAATCTATCACAGTGAAGTCATTATTTAAAGAAGCTAAGCTTCAATAAATTATGTTGCAGCTTAAGATATTGGATGAGGTACTGCAACATATTTCAAGACATGTTTATTGAGTACACATCCCGAGAGATTTCCTATGTTTAGAAAACCTCTCATAATCTAATGCCTTAGTAAAGATGTCAGCCAGCTGATCTTCTGTAGGAATGTACTTTAAGCACACTATATTTTTCTCAACTATATCACGAATAAAATGATGTTTAATATCTATGTGTTTAGTTCGTGAGTGTTGAACTGGATTTTTTGAAATATCAATAGCACTTGAATTATCACAATATATGGTCAGGATGTCACTGGTTAACCCATAATCCCCCAACATTTGTTTCATCCAAATTAGTTGAACACAACATCCTCCAGCAACTACATATTCTGATTCAGCTGTTGAAAGTGATACACAATTTTGTTTTCTACTGAACCATGAAACCAGATTATTCCCTAAAAAGAAACATGCACCTGAGGTGCTTTTTCTGTCACTAATATCCCCAACCCAATCAGAATCACTAAAGCCTATCAAGTTTGTATTAGTGTCTTTGAAAAACTGAATCCCTAAGTCTACTGTACCTGCAACATACCTAATTATCCTCTTCACAGCTTTAAGATGAGTGACTTTGGGATTAGCTTGATACCTGGCACACACACAAACACTAAACATAATGTTAGGCCTGCTTGCTGTTAGATACAGAAGGCTTCCAATCATGCTTCTGTAAAGGGTGCTGTCAACATCTTCAGCAACATCATCCTTGGACAGTTTTTGACTTGAACCCATTGGAGTTTTCATGTGCTTGGTTGACTCCAAATCAAACCTTTTGACCAAACTGAGAGCATACTTCTTTTGATTTACAAAAATTCCTTCACCTGTCTGTTTGATTTGGAGTCCTAGGAAGTAATTCAACTCTCCTACAATGCTCATTTCAAAAGTGTGAGACATAGAATCTACAAAAGAATGTAAAAGGTTAGCGCAGGTAGAACCAAACACAATATCATCAACATATATCTAAACAATAATGATATGGTTATTTGTTCTTCTAACAAATAGAGTCATGTCTGCCTCTCCTCTGTTAAACTGTATTTCAAGTAAGAAGTCAGTGAGTCTTTGATACCAAGCTCTAGGAGCTTGTTTAAGACCATACAGAGCCTTCTTAAGCTTGAAAACATGATTAGGTTTGGCAGAATCTTCAAACCCCTTGGGCTGCTCTATATATGCTTCTTCATTTAGAACACCATTCAGAAATGCACTTTTGATGTCCATCTGATACAACTTGATTTTAAGAAAACAGGCTATAGCAAGAAGTAATCTAATAGATTCAATTCTAGCTACTGGAGCAAAAGTTTCATCAAAGTCTATACCCTCAATTTGAGTATAACCTTGTGCTACTAACCTAGCCTTATTTCTAACAACTGTACCTTTTTCATCAGTTTTGTTTTTGAAGATCCACTTAGTTCCTGTCACATTTACATTACTTGGTCTAGGAACTAAGTACCAAACATCATTCCTGATGAACTGATTCAGCTCTTCATGCATTGCATTAATCCAAAACTCATCCTTCAGTGCTTCTGCAATATTCCTTGGTTCGACTGAAAATACAAAGCAAGTAGTTCCAGTTAGTGCACATTCAGAAGATAAATTTGCAAATCTTACCATATCTCTGTAAACTCTCTCTTTTCTTCTGGTCCTTATCCCATCAAAGATATCTCCCACAACTTGAGTAGAGGGGTGATTTTTCTGGATTCTACTTGATGGTTCCTTTCTGCAGACATAATGAGTTGGCTGTAATTCAGCTTATGTGCTCTCAGTAGGATGTATTGAGTCAGATGTGGTAACACTTGGTTCAACACCCCTGTCGGCGCCATATTTCCGGCTATTGAAGATCGAGGAAATCCGCCATGTTTTGGAATTAAAAGATTGGCAAAGATTTGTTTTCCATATTTATTTTGGAATTTATTAGAGTCCTATTCTTATAATACTTCTATTAGGACTTAGATTTATTTCCATGTATTTTATTCTAGTTAGGTATCTTTTGTATTTATCTAGAATAGAAGTAGAAATCAACTAGGATTCTATTTCCTATTTTTTTTTTTTTTTGATTGAAGATGTAAATAGTATAAATCAAAACAAGTCGTAGACAATTACAACGGGCATACCCGAGGGAATTGAAACACTAAAGGATAGCTACAAGCCATCGAAAAGCATAAAACATAAAAGAAAACATCAAGATCGTAAAACAAGAACAAAGTCGATATGAGGTTAAGCCCCCAAGCCCTAGTTTGCGTCGACTTGGCCAAGCATGGACCGGCCTCCACTGCTGGTCGTCAATTCCGGGTGCTGCATAAACATGGCTGAGTAAACGTGGGTTTGAATCCTCCTAGTGATAGCGGTTGCCGTCGATTCCGTCATGTCGAAACTCCTCTTGTTCCGAGCTGCCCAAATATGGTAAACAACACTCGCCAAAGCACATCTCCTCGTCTTGCTTCGGTAAGATTTGCCCTTGACATCCGTCACGAGCCACTTCAATGCAGCCCTTAGCGTGGTTGGTCTTTGTGAGATCCCCAACCATACCCGAATGCGGTCCCATACCTCTTTCGAGATACTACACCGAAAAAATAAATGCTCACGGTCTTCATTCCCCGCTCCGCACATCACACACGTCTTCTCCACCGTCTCGAATTTTGCCACATTTTCTAGGGTTTGCAACCGATCAAGGGCTGCTAACCAAAGAATGAAAGAGTGCTTGGGAGTCATTGAGTGGTCCCAAATCCGTCGGCCCCAAGGTGGCCCCCCGGTCGGGGCCCTAATCCAGTCGTAAACTCGTCCAACCATAAGCTTCCCCGTGCTCGAGAACGTCTCCATTCGATCAAGGAGCAATGGAACGGACCCCGCCTTTCCCACGATTTCATCCCGAATGCTGCAGAGGTTTTTAAAATACGGGGGTGAAGTCATCGACGGTTGCCATTCCCAAATAGGATTCTATTTCCTAGTTAAATAGATTTCTTGGGGTTCAAGTTAGGTCTTAGGGCTTATTTTCGTGGATATATAAGCCTCCAAGACATAAAAGAACCGGGGACATTATTTGGGAGAAAAACCACTTCATAGCATCGAAGTTTTGCCAAGGCGTTCTGTGGAGCAGGACTGTGCCATCGTTGCACTGTGCCAACATATACAGATTTGCTGTATAGATCTCAAGGGAGATCAGCCGCGTTTTCTGAAGGGAGTTCAGGCTTGAAGAAAGTTCAAGGCACGCGGAGTGGAGCTGCTAGAGAGAGACACGGAGTTCGTTGTGTACAAGAACGGCATATTACATAAAGAGGGAGTCTTTAGTGTTTTTAATAAGTCCTATTAATGTACACTGTAAATCTGAACTAGTGAAATCGTGTTTGCAGGTCCACGTTGATGTAGGGCACATTTGTGTCTGAACCACATTAATTCCTTGTGTTCATTTATTTCCTTTAAGTATTTACTGCGGAGATCAGCAAAATCATCAAATACCACATTTACAGATTCAATAATGGTTCGTGTCTTAAGTTATATACTCTATATGCATGACTGTTATTAGAGTATCCCATAAATAAACTCAAATCACTTTTTGAATCAAATTTAGCTAGATGATCTCTATAATTTAGGACATAGCAAACACATCCAAACACATGCATGTATTCTAGATTAGGTTTCTTACCATAAAGAGTTTCAACACACACAAACACATATTTTTTACCACCTAGACTTTGTACCTCTATAGGACCCATAAGATCCATATGTACAAGTTCAAAACAAATGGTGGTACCAACGTGTTGTAACACTTTGTATGGCACTCTAGTTTGCTTTCCCTTCTAGCACATTCCGCATATAGGCATTGTACTTGTTGAGAAGCTTCAGATTTTTGAAGTTTGTGTGCCCTAGTTTCTAGTGCCACAACTCTACTTCACTTATTCTTGAGCTCTTGCATGAGATGGTATCACCTGTTTGATAACAATCATCCATTGACCTGGAACCTGTCAGTACACAACGATTTTGATTATCAACCATAGAACAACAGTATTTATCAAATTTAACACGTATATCATCATCACACAATTGACTAATACTGATGAGATTTGATCCCAATCCTTCAACATGTAAGGCATTTGAAAGTTTTGGAAGTCCCTCAATACTGAGTGTTCCACGTCCAACCACTTTGCCTTTAGCTCTGCCTCCATAGGTTACACGTCCTCCATTGTGTGTATGGTAGTTTGATAGAAATTCTTTAGTATCAGTCATGTGCCTAGAGCATCCACTATCAAAGTACC